TTCTTACGCTATGTCTCTATGTCTCTCTCTCGCTCCAATTTGTCTTCAGCACCCATGACTTGACCTGTCAATCACCCATAAAATGTCTGCACTGTGGCGGGAGGTGGTGAGCTAATACACTTCCTGACAGCTCGAGCTCTCCTACTGTATACCTTTGTATTGCAGAGGAGCTATTGCGCCTGTACAACTTTTAACCAGAGTTGATGGGCAAAGATTTTTACGCCCTAGTGTGGAAATACGTCACCAATCCGACGAAAAATGGAATGATGCTTTACTAGTCATTAAACATTAAATATGTATCTTTAATATCTAAAAAATACATATTAATATATTTCAAAATATTTTAAATGTCCATTTAAAGTTAAGTTATATGACAAAATATATATTTATCTTTTATATCTTAATCTATTGGCCAGCTGCCACTTATCAGAACCATACTGGGTTTGTGCCCTGCATACACTCATCAAAACAGAATTTTGGACTACAAAACAATACCATGTGTTAACACGACACATGTCCTTCATCTAAAGCAAATCTGAGAAAAATTAATTCACGTTTAAATTTAGAGGGAAGAAAAATCTGACAAAAATCAATAGTGGATATGCAAAGTTGGCAAATGCAGAAGAAATATTCAAGAAGATTGCAATACTAGTAGTAAGGACAGGAGAGGGGTTAAATAAAATGGGGATGATAAGAGTATACTTTAGTTTCTGCAGACTAGAAAGCTTAAGCCAAATGTTGAAAGATACTCAAGATGAATCCATAGCATTCATAACTTATTAGCTTCCCATTCGGTGTGGTCCTTTTCTTGCAGTGAAGTTGTCATTATAGAGGTACAAAAGTGTGTAAAGATAAAAATTTACTGCATTTGAGCTATTAAAATTCTATAGGTTATTCTGACAGATTTGACGAGTAAGCTATAGTAGGATGGGTTATGAGAGCTTCATCAATATAGTCTTGAAAACTGTAAACTCTGAAAGCAGTCTGAATCTTTTCTAGAACATAGAAACGTGATTTTGGACCAAACCCTGTGCAGAATAATATTTATATAAGCTGCTGTCCAACAAATCTTTTAACATTATGGGTTGTCATGTGTTCCATATTAATAAGAAAAATGTCTTTGCATTATTTGCATTATTTTTGAGGTACAGTATTTCAGTGGCTTATGACTGTAAGATTTAAGACATTTTTTTAATCCAGTATTAATATGACAAACCTACCAGCATTTTATTTTAACACTGACTTAACAAAACAGATAATCAGTAATTTTATGTTAACATAAATTTTGGTCCATGTCTGCAGTGGCTGGGCTCTTTGGAATTCATATCAACTGATATAAGAAACATTTGTATTTTAAGGATATCAGTGTGTTTGACTTATGTTTGTAACTGTGTAATATAAAAAGTTTAAGGTAATTCTCATGCATGGTACTTAAATAATGTTATTGCTGTTATAACTAAGTAGTTTCCGTTTATGAATTATAATCCAGGCAGGACCTTCAAGCAGCTTCCTCCTCCATCTAGTTATTTTCCATCCTACTGTTTTTTTTCCCCAAAACACATTGATACACAAGATGTGTATATGTGTTTGTGGTTAGGGCTGCTATCATGAGGTTTTATATTTACAAATTATTGTTCACTAAGGCCCTACAAATTGAATAATAATTGGGATATTGAAGAAATTCTACTGAGATTTTCCAAACTGTCAAGTTTATGTAGCATGAAGAGCATTTATTTTGTTAATATAAAGTGCCTCTAAAGTGAAACCGTGTGGAGTCCAACATTTAGCTTTGCTTTAATTGAAACCAAAAAGCGCCCTCCTGGAAAGAACACAAGGAAACCTCGGCTGAACATTTTGGTATATGAGAATGACCTTGACTGATTTCTATTTAAAATGACATATTAAGGACTATGATAAGATAATGAACAGTCATTTCTTATACTTAGAGGAAGTTAAAAATGTAGCTGGCATACTGTAGAATTATTTCAGTCATCGATTTTAATAAAATGCTGGCAAGGTTTACTGCCAGCCAAAGGGTTGAAACTCCACAAATCATCAAAGTCCAGTGGCAGCTTTAACCGTGCCCTCCCCAATTACTTACAACCCTGGAATACATCAATTGTGGAGTAAAAAAAGATTCATGGCTTTCTCTTTTTTCTTCAAATCAATACCACAGTGTTTTATGCATTTGGAATGGGACATCTTTACTCTGGCACCCCTAAATAGAATTTACTTAATAATCACATTCTCACCTAGTTTATTAATTAGTAAATTAAGTCCAAATGACCATACTTCATTTTTAGCATCAACCCATCTGTTCTGAAAAATCCTCGAGGGAATGTTAGCCCTAAATTCCATATCCTCAGTTATTCATCTGCCCTGCTCACATACCCTCAAGTCCGCCCAATGGATCAAATAGGTTATGTTAATTAATGAGAACAGTTCCACGTTCTCCATAGCCCCTCCAAATGTCATTGTGCACAGACACGTGGGCAGATACAGTTGCCGTTGCTTTTCACAGATGTGCCGCGGCAGTCTGGCAGTCTGGGGGATGTGGAATCTGGGTGTTAGACAAAATGAGTGTACAAACAGAAACACATGATTCAGGAAAAAAGGTGTATCAGACTTGGGATCAGGGTACTGTTTGGCCAGGAATAACAAATGTTTTTAAAGTGTTTCTCAAAATGTCTATTTCACTACATTCTTATGGGATTGTCAGACAGGTGCAGCGTGCACACTTCTGCACCCTGTTACGCATTATTTTTAACTGCGTGCACCAAGCAAGGGCACAGAAGTCCTGCTTCCCCCAAACGCAGCACAAAGGAGCCTGTGCAAGATATGGTCAAAGTTCAGCCATGCTCAATAGAAACCTTTTAATCGGGGGAAAACATGAAAGCAAAATACTGTAGAGAAGCTAAAATTGTGTATGTGATTTGTATTGATCATTGAAATCACTGGTCCGATTATCCCCAACAAAATCTAAAACTACTCCACACTTAAAATAGACCTGGAAACGGTCGCTGTGGAAACAAAACTTTAACAAGTCTGAACTTCCCAACTTGCTCCCTGGATCTGAGGGTTTCTATAACCAGA